CAATGTTGTAACCCCATCATAAAAGGCCAATCTTTAAATCTAATTGCACCTCTAACATTCAATTTAAGGTGACAGAATTTTCCATGGAATCAGTGATCAAGGTCACCACCCAAAGCACAATGAATTTTAGCCTTGAAGAGATTAACCATCCTGCCTTTAGTTACTGTGCGATCATCTGTTGTAGGAGCTTTTCACTGCCATCTGCTTCCTCCTCCTTTTATCTTATCCCCACCATCCTTTACTCCACTGGAGACACAGGGAAAGAAAACCTTTGTGCCAAATACAATGTTCACGTCACATTGATGTTAAGTTAGCAAGGAGTTACTACAAATCAGGACTGCAATTTGTTTTCACAGCACTGCAAGAGTAAGGGGGGTAGATTTTGTTATAAAGTAGTTATACAATTAAGTAAGAAATAAGCTTGCTGGACATTCTGTATTTGAGAAAAATTTACAAGCTAAAAAACTCACAGACAGATTTAAAACATAGAATTAAAGTCTTTACCTTCTAACCACTTCTTTCCAGCCTTCTTCTCTTTTCTGACCTCTTTTTGGACTAGTCAGATTCAGCTTTACATTTGGAGAGGACAGAGGCAGGGATACAGGCTTATAAGTAGTTGACAGAGAATTTGAAGGACCTTCACCATCAAGTCTGGGAATAGAAATTTGTCAATTACAAATTACAAATTACAAAATAAAATGACAGCATTACAGTATACATTTCTTCAGCTAGCAGCTTAGAACTACTAGCATGAACTGTTTTCTTTCTTATTTCCTACCTGCAACAACCATTGTGTGACTTCACAGGTAGTTTTCTACCTTTTACTCCACAGTCTATAACCTTCCTCCAAAGAGTGGAGTGCTAAACTGAATGAAGTAATACCAGAAGCACTAAGGACATCAGATTAAAATAGTTTATAATAGGCAGTACACAGCCACTTAGGCACATCCAATTACGTGTCTATACTGTGTTCTCCTTTTTGAATAGCTTTTAAAGAAAAGGTATTTCGGTAATAATGTCACTTTCTTACTAAGTCTGAGTTTAAGTTTCAATTACAATAGCCTTGTTATTGGCATGTCTATGACTAAAGAGAAGAGGAATTCAGGAAAAACAAGTTTAGAAATTATTTTCAGATAAAAGTCTGCCTAGTGCAAGAGCCAACGGGCACCTGCAGAAGTTAATCAAATGTACTAGTCCCATTTTGATATTTATATACTGCCATGTTTCTTAGGTGTACTTTATCTAACAGAAGCACTGCTTCCAACAAAGAAGTATGCATTTAGTTGCATACTGCTGCGGTGAACTGCACTGGATTCCAAGGCTTTCGTAGGAGACCTTGGATGAAAGGTCCAAGACAGAAACAACTTATGTTCATTAAACAGAATGTAGAGAAAATCCAATTTCTAAAATTCCTAAGGGTAATCCAAAACACACACACACTGCAACCACAAGGGCTGACAAATCCACTCATTCTGCTCCTAACTTTAATCTGGGAAAAAAAAAAAAGAAAAAAGAAAATCCTGACTCTCTTTCCATTCCCAGACAAGTGCCTCAATCACTTTTGAGGCACAATCACACAGAGTTTTGGCCACAGCCCTCTCGCTTGCTGCCCTTTTTGAACCCATGAAGTTTGCATTCTTATGGAAGCTGGGTTCTCAGTCAGCCATGTGTTGTGTAGATCAATCCCATACCCTCTCCCCTCCCTTAATGCAGGAAAAGAAAAGGAAAAAGAAAACTATAGAGGATCAGACTCATACTACTTACACATAAAAATAAGCAAAGATTACTAATTCAGATAGGATCTAAGCTTTTTGATTCAGATCAATGACCTATTCAGAACCTGGTGTTGTAGAAGTTATTAGCTGACTTCCTGGCAACTGAATGATCTTCCAAACCATTCATATGGCCCTTGTACATTCACCAAGTTCTTTTGACTCTCACCTCTGGCTTGACAAGGTTAAATCAAACTGGCCATCAACCTGGCAGTTGAAGTGCTCAGAGTCATCAGCTTCTTCCCTCCTTAAAACAAAGAGATTGCAATTCAAATCAGTTAATGATGAAACCATAAAACAATTAGAAGATAATGAAACCACTTCTCTAAATAGATTATAAGTAAAGCTGGCACTTCCTTTTTAAATTCACAGCATACTCACTTTAAAATCTATTCTTATAAAGTTGGCAATGCAATATGGATGCTTAAATAGCTCAGAAAGAAAACTGGCTGTTTTGCTAAAGTAGTATTAAAAACTAGCCAAGCAATGCCAAAAAAATCTTACCTTTACCACTTTAAAGACGTTGCGTTCAACAAACTTGACAGTATTATTTAATAGCTACACAAGTGAGCAAACTCATCTCTCAAGACTTTGGGAATGTACCAGCTGGTGTAAAGCTTAAGCTACAGAAAGTTTACACTGGAAGAGGTAAAAACCTGTGAAACAATAGGGAAGCAACACAGCAGCCTCACCTTGTTGGTGTTTTTGAAGCTGAGGCACTACTTTTTTCTTCCTGAGAGGGGATAAGCAATGAGGCATAGCGCCGATCAGAGGAATTGGTATCCATTGTGAAGTTCAACTCTTGGCTTTTACCTCCACTGCTACTTTCGCTATTGCAATCTGTGCTATCCAAGTTATCAGAATCACTATTTCCACTTGCACCACCACCTCTTGGCTCTCCATTTATTTTATTTTTATCTGCTTTTTGCTGTGCTAGAGATATATGCTGATCTGGCAAAATTATCTGCATATTCTGAGGAGTCTCTTTTGTTTTATTTTTCTTATTTTTTCTATTTGTGCTGGGGGTAGTCACCACATTAGCTCTCTTCTTCCCAAAGGCATTTGTGAAAGTAGTTGAAGTCGCAGAAATTCCAATTGTAGTTGTGGTAGTTGCACTAGGAGGCTCTATAGGAACTTCTTGCTCCACTGAAAGAAAAACAGTTGATACACAATCAAAACCCAAAAAACAGAAACCAGTGCCCTCACTGAAGACACTGCAGCCAAAGTTATGCTCCTGGCTGAGCTGTCAGATTATTCGCCTCGCATTCAGCTGTAAACCCTACAAGAGTGAAAGACTTTGGAGAACAAAGGAGGGGAAAAATGTGAACAAAGGAGTCTTGCCAGGAACACTGACTGCAGGGGGAAGAAGCAGGGCAGAAACTATGTAACAGTGTCACAGTACCAGAGAAGCCAGCTTTCAAACAGATGCCCTGACCTAAATGGTTAAAAAAAAAGCACCCCCACAAATACCTTGCTCATAAGAAACACCTGTTCTTTACCTTCATCATCATTTTCTTCTTCATCATCATCTTCTTGCAGTTCCAGAGTTTCTTTAGGCTTGTTTTCTTCATCTTCTTCTTGTTTTCTCTTTTGTTCCTCTTTCTTCTTCTTTCTCTTTTCCTTTCTTTTCTCCCTTTTAGCTGCAAGAGCTTGTTTTCTGCTCTCCTCTCTTGACTATGTAGGAGAAAAGGATCCATATTTAAACATTTTCACACAGACTAAATTATACTTATAATTTATAAATAATATATACTTATAAATAAATATAAATTAGAAATCTGGGTGGAGGGAGAAAGGAGAGAGCAAGATGAACTACTACTTTGTCACGTAGTGAATCATTACACAAAAACTGGGCAGACCTTACGGAACACCAGGATTAGATGGTCTCAAAATCTCTAAGGAATGACACAAAATAACAATCAAAACAGAGGTATTACAAAAATACAATTTTACCAGAAAACCAGCAAAATCTCTCATCATCTCAGTCTTTTCTCAAGAAACATTTAATAACCTCATTAATATTTTTGCAGCAACATTCACATTTTTGATTTAAAAAGATCTACCAGAGTATTTGACAGAAAAAGCTGCTATCATTTTAACCACTTTTTAAAATATATGGAATCAGAGAAGTTAACCACGCTATACTGTAGCTTTGCACAGCAGGTGTTTAACAAGTCAGCAACTTGGAAAATTCAATAAACTAATATTGAACTTGTTTGTCAGATTGTAAGAACCTCCATTAAGAGAGCCCATTAAGACTGCTTAAAAAGTGTCTGCATCACTCTGGGACACTTCACAATATTCTCTGTGAGGGATAAGTTGATTTTCCCCACTATCTGCTCAATTCCAGAGAGCTCATCAGGCAGCTTGTAGGTTCTCCTTTGTAACACTGAGTAGAAGTGCATGAAATGCTTACAGACTACATCTTACACAACATATAGCATGTATGACACCACAGAGACTGGAAGACCTCCTTTATTCACATGTCCTCTGCACTAAAGTAATGCACAAGACCTGCTACCTAAGGGAACTATTGCCAAGTCCAAACTCTCCTAAAAATGCCAATGGCATGGTTGGAGCAGAAGTCAGTTCTAATTTGCCACCTTCAGTATACGCTTCACTTTTTGTATATTAGAGGAAGGAAAGCACATACAGTCACAGCATGAAGAACTACTGTCCCAAGAAGCACCAACAGGAAATGCAACCTACAAATTAATACATAGTTCAAACAATTATGCTACACAACAGCAATTCTCTACTCACTTTTTCCAGGTCTAGCTCCTTCAGCAATATAGTTGCATTCTTATTTGCTTCTGCAGCCTGCTGGTCTTTAGCTTTCACAATTGTCTCCACGCACTGGTGACACTTTTTCAACAGGTCCTGGAATGCAAACTTGTCTTACTACCTCCATAATAAACTAAAATGAAGGAGTGAGGCTTGCTCTACAAACATGAGATTAGCTTCCCTGTATTCATAAACAGACAAACTGTTTTAACAGAACAAGACCTAAACATGGATTTAGTTTTTAAAGTTCTGTATTAAAAAGGAGATATGCACAAACTTCTGAATCAAACATCAGCAACCACGTACATTCAGTTTTTGAACACTTAAGAATTTCTCATGTATATTTTCCCTGAAAATAAGGGACAGCGTCTTTTCCCAAAGTTAAACTCACCTTGTCAGTTATCGTCGCTATGTATCGCATGCATTCAATGTCTGAAGGAAACTGGTTAACTTCTTTCACCAGGAACTGAACTACTTTCACATGCCCCTGTAAGAGCAAAGAAAATTCTAATCTCTTGTATACCATTATCAGCGTTCATAATCAAAATACAAGCTTGATATCCAATGCAAAAGACTAACAATAAGCAAGAACATTTCTGGTAGGCTGCTGTTTAGGAAGAAAGGTAGTTACTACTGTTTATCCCCTGTTGACAGCATGCCTGCTGTTCTCCATCGTGGTGGCACAGACAAACTCTCCCACATTTCTTATTTTCAAGTACAAGGACCAAGTCCAAGGAAGGGACAGCAGTGGCATGCTCACTATTGCTGTTTGTCAAAAAAGCTGTATACTTATTTGATATTTTGTTAAAGGCAAAGCAGCGTTAGTTAATAAATTCCTCTGCTATAGCTATGCTCCTTGCATCCAACAACACAAGTGATTAAACCATCACAAAGCAATGTTCTTCCTGTCAAGAAGAAAACACAGTGACAAAAGAGCCTATGATCCAAAATATCCCACTGAATGACAAATTAGGAACAGAACAGAAGCACAAAGGAATCAGGACAGCTTATTACAGACCAATCTTTTGTTCTTCTTAAAAGCAGGACTGAAATAAGCAATATAATCTGCAGAAATTTAGAGGGCACTGTGGTAATCTCAAGACAGTGAAATCTCAAACAGTGAAAGTTTTTGGACAGTGTGTAACTGGAAATAATAAAGTTAACATGGTTTAAGGAACAAAGTTTTTTACCTGTCAAAAACTGTATCTGTGTGAACTACACAGAATATGATTTCTTTAAAGTAGGCATTTTATCAAAATAGTAATTTTCCTGTATTATATTTGATTCTTTGAAAACCAAGCATTCAAGACTTAAGACCAAATGAGAAACTTCAATTTGAAAACATTTAGCATTGAAACATAAAATCAAGTTGGTCTCCTACCTTGCGAAACGCTGACATAAGAGGTGTAATTTTCCGATTATCTGCAGCATCCACATCTGCTCCTGCTTGCACAAGCAACTGAACCACATCATAGTGACCACCATTAGCTGCCAACCACAGAGGTGTGTTTCCTTTCTTGTTACGAACATCAATATGTGCTCCTCTAAAAAAGTACAAGTGTAATCGAGTGAAACAGGGTACGAGTACAGGTGGAAGTCAGGGAGTAAGACAACGAAAAATCAGAGTATAATTTGATATATAACTTTAATAACTGAAATCCAGTGGCTAGAGAAATTCTGTCCCTGAAATCTGCTGTTTAAGTCACAATGTAGTGACACAGGAATTATTTAAAATTCCCGTACAGAAATGAACACTCACCTCATGCAAGCCTACTGCACCACACCTATGCAACTAGCAACCACGTGTCCTTTAAATTATCATTAAGGTGGTGATTACCCACAGGACGAAGAAGCCCCCTGAGATTTTAGCAGTTCGTAGGGTTACGCTTGAAGAGCTCAAGAGCTACTTCCAGCCTTTGCCCCTCAAGTGACAGTGAGGAGATGCTCATGTGGGAACTGCTGGATTAATACACAGACAACAGAGTTGCCAAGCCAGACACCATTTGCTCACCTCTGGTCCCAGCTGCCCGCTTAGCTTAATTAACACTGGAGCAGCAGGATACTCCAGGATTACCCTGGAGAGTAGAGAACAGATACAACATCCTACTTCCAAAGTTTCCCATTCCCTTTCCTCTCAGACGCACGAGGCAATGTAAGCAAGGGCACCCTTGCTACAGAGGAACACAGTTACAGAACAAACGTGCCACTAGAGAGAAGAAATAATTTACCGATTAATCAGGAGCTCACAAAACTTGTAGTGACCCTTATCTGCTGCAATTGTTAAAGCTGTATCTCTTGAGGAAGGCACAGGTGGAGCATTAACATCTGCTCCTTTATCAAGGAGAACCCTTCCAACCTCTGCATATCCTCCTGAAGCTGCTTCCATCAGAGGTGTAAGCCCAGTCTGTGCAAAGAGAATGAGTTACACAGCCTGAAAATATACTTTGGATAAGACATAAATGATTTCTACGGAAGGAAATTAGATTTTTTATTTAGCTGCCTGTATTTAGTTTAGGAGCCTAACTTCAAGCAGTCTCTCAAAAAAACCCCCCAAAACAACAATTAAAACAAAACAAAAAAACCCCACGAAACCAAAACAAAACCCCACAAATGCTCTTGGGCTTTGATTTATACAAACCCAGGCAAACTGTTGACTAAGTACCACCAGATACCTGTCTCAACAGCAAAAGCAAAGTTTACAACAGGATCTCTAAAACAGAGGTTAGAACAGATCCAAATGAAGACGCAAGTGTTTCTATGAAAATGCTCAGAAACTGGCTTTATAGCTTTTCTCTAGCCTCCCTTAGTGCTGAGACTGATCTGGGCCCAACTTAGTTGCCAGGCTAGACTGTTAAATAAACTAATACCAGCTGCTAACACGCCCAACTGACCATTTGAGAGCTGGCTTTTATCCATATCCCCTTTTCTCCAGCCACAGTCATTCCAGAAGCAGGCAGGGTAGACAGACACAACAATTATTTCAGCAGCCTTAGGAGTTACCAAAAATTCCTTTGTGCTGGGAAAATCAGTCTGGCTGTCTACACAAGCTTTAAGCTTGCTTTATGGCAGGAGACACAAAGCTGTCCCAGAGTACCAAAGGATGGGACCTGTGGAGCATTTCAGAGGCACAGAAAGTCACAGTACTGAAGCCACAGGTTCCACAGCAACGTAAAAGCTTTATAAAGTTTGACTGCACTACTTCTGTTGTAGACAAGAAATCTGTTCTGTATGAGAATCGCTATAAGCAACACTATTCTCTTCCTGCCTAGACTTCACTCATATGCAAAAATATGTAACTTATCTATTCTGTTAATGAGTATCACATCAAGTGTAAACCTGAGAAGTTTCTCAGTACTACAGAACAAGAGTCAATCTAAGTGTCATTATGAACTCAGAAGGACGAGTCAGCTCTTCCCTAATGCAAAAAAGTCATAATCATTGATGCTTTTATTTAAAAAACAAACACACACCTTATTTCAGAACATTTAATAAGTCCTCTGACTTAATAAAGCTCAGAGAGGCTCAAAGTAACAGGAAAATTTGAAGAAACTTGACAACTCAGAAAAATTACCTGTTAGAAGCAAGTCGTAAGGAAAGGCGATACACATACGTACCTTTGCCCTGTGCTCGACATTGGCCTTCCTGTCCAAAAGCAGACTGACCACCTCTGCTCGGCCTTGGAAACAGGCCAAGGTGAGAGCTGTATTCCGGTTGGTCTCAATCTGAGCATTAATATCAGAACCCATATCAAGCAATAGTTTCACGGCAGGTACATGGCCATTCATAGCAGCCAGCATCAGAGGAGAAATACCTAGCTTACTCCCAGTCCTAAAGGGAAAGAAACAAACTGCAGTTCCCAGAACCAGAGGAAAGCTCTGGGAATTGTAAGTATATCTAAGAGGAACAAAATGTTTTGTTGTAAGCCAAAAAGGAACATATAATATACACAAATATAGACACTGACCTAAAATACTAGCATTTTTTATTTGATCAGGAGAAACCATCAGAGTATCTACATGCAATAGACAACTGCAATTTATAAACAAGGAAAATAAATTTCACCTTTTAGACGTTCAGATGGCTGAAGCACACATAAGTCAAACTACATACACTAAAAATCAAGGGTGCATCTGATTCATTCAGAAAAACATGCTTCTAGCACAGGTGCAGTTTTAATTTCTCTAGTGATAGCATAAATGTAAGTTTTCTTAAAATTAATAAAGAGGAGGCTTAAGAGACACAGCTGTGTAAATCTGTTCCTCTTACTGAAAAAGATCTCTTCAAACACACACATAGAGCTGTCCCGAGGCCTCTGGCTGGTTCCTTTACCTGGTTCTATAGAAAACAGTTTGACTTCTAGAATGGTGGAAAAGGGAAAGGGAAGGAATAGGTTTGCAAATCATAATAACCTCTTAAAATTTAGGTATAATGGAGATGAAGTTTGTGATAACGAAAGGCAACTTAAAAGCACTACAATAATGTGAACATTAAGGATAATATCCGTGTAGAAAGGTTGCAAGAAGGTCTGAAAGCACTGGAGATTCCAGCCCGTGCCTCAGTACTTAGCCAACAACGGAGTGTCTGTGCTATACTGCGCTTCATCCATCGCACATAGTTACCTTGAATTAATTTCTGCCCCAGCATTGAGAAGAATCTTGATGATATTAACATAGCCACCAGACGCAGCAAGGCTTAATGGCGTATAATCAGACACATTCCTATGTTCTTTATTTGCTCCCCGGGCCAAGAGCAAATCAACAACCTGAAAAGACAGCACGCATATTAAAATTTTGTGACCTTTGCTATCCAGGACTGAAAGGATGTTATCACATTCAAACCTTCCAGTATGCTACCATTTTCCATTGTCAATAGATAAAATTCTACAGGAAATCCTCTATCCTCTTTTGCTTTACTTTTACATATGTGCTGTACAGACTTAGTAACTGTACAGACTTAGTAACACCAGCTCATCTGTGTGGGTTAGAGCAGTGCAGCACTTGTCTTCCAGAAAGATTATTTTTACCTAATCTAAAATGCAAGGCTTTAAAGTGAAGCTCCTTCTGTTTGCAAACAAGGGATCTATCCCACTCCCATAACGTCTCACACTGTTTGAGCTTCTCTTTCAGAAACTCCCACAACTTAAATTCAAATGACACTTGAGTCAAGTTTGACCATCTGTATTATATGGTCTTTCCAACAAAACACATAGTAAAAACCAGATCAACTGATGTTAATGGAACAAGCACAAGGAAGGTCTTCTCTCCGCTATGAGAATCTGCTTAAGAGAAACCTAAGGGGGAAAATTTAAAACATTTCTGGTGGTGTACTGCACTTTACTGGGCCTCATTTTACTAGTAACATAGGCTAGGTGATTTTCAAATAAGCCAGAAAAAAGGCTGCCTCACAAGCTGCTAAACCAGAAAGATTTAAGGGGTAGATTCTGACATAAGGAAAAAAAAAAAATAGAGGAAGAACCAAAGACTTAAGTAGTTCAATAAGTAATGCTGTCATAGGCCACACCGATCTCTCCTTTTATTTGTGAGCAGCACTTCTACTGTTAAAGAGCTGCAATTCAAAAGTCAAAGTGGAAACTTTCCAATTTGGGCCAACTGTTTTAATCCTTACAAGTTCTAAAACTTACCACTCCCGTATCTGGTACAGAGCCCTTTGCCACCTCTATGTCATCTTCTAAGCTTTTATGTGCATGACTGTCCTGGTTTTGCTAGGATAGAGTTAATTTTCTTCTTAAAGTAGGAAGGATTTAACAAATCTTATTTGAACAAAAGGGGGAAAAAAAAAGCTGAGAGAAAACTGGAACATCCTTTGGAGACGAGTATAACGTGCCCTGCATTGCATCTGCACTTAACAGCCCAGCACATCACCACTAAAACCAGGTACTGCCAACACAAAATTCTAGCTCCTGTCCTTGTGCGCCTGCACTGGTCGTTTTAGTTTTGAGAGAGGGAAGGATGCACAAGGGAAGTGTTCAGTGAATAAAGTAATTTGTTAAACACCTCTGCCTCCCTCACAAAAGTACTTATCTTGCCAGGGTACATTGAGAGAAGAATGACCACAAGCTGTAACAGCCATTAGCTAACGAAACTGGGACAGCCAAAAGAGAAAAGCATGAATTGCCTTTCCTCTTGGGAAAAGGAAAAGACAAAGTCTTTGCGGGAGCTCAAACCCACTGCAGGCGCATCCTGAGTGGAGCAGGGATCTGCGGAGCCAGGATTTAGGGGGATCTAAAGGAGAGAGACCGCGGCCCACTAGGGGACAACACTGTGATAGAGGCACCTTGGTTTTTGGTGACCGGGAAAAGCAGGGCTCCACCTCAGTCCCCATCCTCCACCATCACCACCAAAACCAGGTTTGAAGCTCTTGCACGCCTTAACACACAGGGCCAGTATCTGCAGGAAGTAACTGCACCGGCACCCTGCAGCAGATACCAAAAAAAGAAACACAGGGTGCTTGCAGTGTGCAACTCCCTGTTAAAAGGCACCAAGGCTGCTGGTCTGACAGGGAGTCTCGAGAGGTCTGCTGCCTCTGGGAGCCACGATCTGGGACAGTGCTGTGAGGGTCCCACAGCATGTCAAAGAAACAGAACACTATCCTCTGTTGATCTTTCATGTGGGCACCAATGACACTACAAGGCAGAAGATGGACAGAATCAAGGGAGATTATAAAGCCCTGGGTAGGCAAGTGAAAAACATTGGTGCCAAAGTTATCACCATTCTGCCTGGTGGAGGAGGGAGGGAAGCCAGAAATAAACGTATAATGCACATAAACTCCTGACTATGTGGCTGGTGTCAGCAACAACCTGCCAGGGTTTTGGTTTTTATGATAATGGAACTTTCTACACAGATTATAATCTATTAGGGAGGGATGGGATCCACCTGTCTAGAAGAGGTGGGGCAATCTTTGGCAGCAAGTTGGCTAGCCTAGTAAGGCAGGCTTTAAACTGAAAAACTGGGAGGTGGGGTCCAAAGCAGCAATGCTCAAGCCACTGCAGTAGACTGGGGAATGGGACAGACCAACTGTCAGAGTAACAAATCTTCCTTAGCTGCCTCCCATGACTGGAGCCAGAAGGTCAGTCATGTCAAGGGTGTGCAGAACGACAGGGGATCTTCTTGCATCCCCCTGGGGACACCTGGACACTCTCCTCACTTCTCGTCTCCTTAAGTGTTTGTATACCAATGCACACAGCATGGGGAGTAAACAGAAAAACTAGAGACCTGTGTGTGGCCACAGGGCCATGACCTCACTGCAATCACAGAGACATGGTGGGACAGCTCACATGACTGGAATGCTGTCATGGATGGTTATATCCTCCTTAGGAGAGATAGGTCAGCAAGATGGATGGTGGAGTTGTCCTTTATGTGAGAGAGCACCTGGAATGTATCCAGTTCCACCTGGAGAGGGATGATGAATGAGTGGAGAGCTTATAGGTGAGAATTAAGGGGCGGACTAACACAGGTGACATTGTTGTGAGTGTTTACTACAGGCCATCTGATAAGGGTGAGGAGGTTGATGAGGCCTTTGCCAGGCAGCTGAAAGCAGCCTCAAGATCGCAGGCTATGGTCCTCATGGGGGAACTTCAATCACCCTGATATTTGCTGGAAAAGAAAAACGGCCAGACACACAGTCTGAGAGGTTCCTGCAATGTGTGGAGGACAACTTATGGTCCTCATGGGGGAACTTCAATCACCCTGATATTTGCTGGAAAAGAAAAACGGCCAGACACACAGTCTGAGAGGTTCCTGCAATGTGTGGAGGACAACTTTCTGACACAGGTGGTGGAAGAGCCAACGAGGAGAGGTGTGGTTCTAGACTGTGTTCTTACTATCTATGAAGGGTTGGTTGGGGATGTGAAGGTTGGGGGCAGCCTGGGTTGCAGCAACCACAAGTTGGTGAAGTTCAGGATCTTGTGTGGAAGATGTAAGCCAGTGAGTAGAGTTGTAACCTTGGACTTCAGGAGAGCCAACTTTAACCTCTTCAAGGACCTACTTGGGAGTATCCCATGGGCTAAAGTGTTGGAAGGTAAGGGGGCCCAAGAGAGTTGGTTAACATTCAAATACCACTTTCTCCAAGCCCAAGACTGGTGCATCCCTAAGAGAAAGAAATCAGGCAAGAGTGGCAGGAAACCTGCGTGGATGAGCAAGGAGCTCATGGAAAATCTCAAAGGGAAGAAGGTCTATGAAATGTGGAAAAGTGGTCTAGCTACTTGGGAGGAATATAGGAATGTGGTCAGGGCCTGCAGGGATGCAACTAGGAAGGCTAAGGCCCACTTGAAGCTGAATCTGACAAAGGAGGTAAAGGACAACAAAACCAGCTTTTTTAGATATGTCAGTAGCAAAAGGAAGACTTAGGGAAAATGTGGGCCCGCTGCTGAATGAGATGGGTGCCCTGGTAACAGGGCACTGAGAATACAGAGATACTGAACACCTTCTTTGCTTCAGTCTTTACGACTAAAACTGATGCTTAGGAATCCCAGATGCTAGAGGGAAGAAAGAGAATCTGGGGAGACAAGACTTCCCCTTAGTCAAGGAAAAACTGATCAGAGACAGCCTAAACAAAATCAATACACACAAATCCATGCGCCCCAATGGGATGCACCCACGAGTGCTGAAGGAGCTGGCGGAATTGATTGATAAACTGCTCTCTATTATCTTTGAGAAGTCTTGGAGAACAGGAGAGGTGCCTGAAGAACGGAGGATAGCCAGTGTCAGTCCAGTCTTCAAAAAGGGCAACTACAGGCCAGACAGCCTCAACTCCATCCCTGGGAAACTGATGGAGCAACTTATTCTTGATACCATCTCTAAGCAACTGGAAGAAAATAAGGTTGTCAGGAGTAGTCAACATGGTTTCACTAAGGGGAAATCATGCCTGACAAATCTGGGAGCCTTCTATGATGTCATCACCAGCTGGGTAGATGAGGGGAAAGCAGTGGATGCTGTCTACCTTGATTTCAGCAAAACTTTTTATACTGTCCCCAACATCCTTGCAGCAAAGCTTAGGAGGTATGGGATAGATGAGTGGATGGTGAGGTGGACTGAGAACTGGCTGACTGGCAGAGCTCAGAGGGTTGCCATCAGCAGCATAGAATCTAGTTGGAGGTTTGTAACTAGTGGTGTTCCGCAGGGGTCGGTACTGGGTCTGGTCTTGTTTAACATCTTCATCAATGACCTTGATGAAGGGCTAGAGTCCACCCTCAGCAAGTTTGCTGATGATACGGAGTTGAGAGGAGTGGCTGACACACCAGAAGGCTGTGCTGCCATTCAGCGAGACCTGGACACACTGGAGAGTTGGGTGGAAAGGAACCTGATGAGGTTCAACAAGAGCAAGTGGAGGGTCCTTCACCTGGGGAGGAATAACTGCAGGCACCAGTACAGGTTAGGGGCTGACCTGCTGGAAAGGAGCTCTGAGGAAAAGGACCTAGGTGTCCTGGTGGGCCAACAGTATCCTGGGGTACATTAAAAAGAGCGTGGCCAGCAGGTTGAGGGAGGTTCTCCTCCCTCTCTACTCTGCCCTGGTGAGGCCACATCTGGAGTACTATGAGGGACAGGGATCTTCTGGAGAGAGTCCAGCAAAGGGCCACAAAGATGATGAGGGGCCTGGAGCATTTCCTGTGTGAGGAAAGGCTGAGAGAGATGGGACTCTTCAGCCTGGAGAAGACTCAGAGGTATCTTATCAATGTCTATAAAGTCCTGAAGTGTGGGGCCCAAATGGATGGGGCCGGGCTTCTTTGGTGGTGCCCAGTGACAGGACAAGGGGCAGTGGGCACAAACTGGAACACTGGAAGTTCCACACAAACTTAAGGAAAAACTTCTTTACTGTGAGGGTGTTGGGGCACTGGAACAGGCTGCCCAGAGAGGTTGTGGAGTCTCCATCTCTGGAGATGTTCAAAACCCACCTGGACACTTTCCTGTGCAACCTGTTGAAGGGAACCTGCTTTGGCAGGGGGATTGGACTGGATGATCTCCTGAGGTCCCTTCCAACCCCTACGATTCTGTGAAATTAGCTACACTTATATATGTTAAAAACCTTCCAGAAAAAGGATGATTTATTATACCATCATCAACAACAACAAAACTGCACAAAAAACCCCCTACCTACAAAAAACAATTCAAACCCACTGAGGCTAGATATGTCTGTACCTCTTGGCGTCCACCGGAGCATGCCAACGAAAGTGGAGTATCCTTTGTGCGCTCAGACTGTGCTTCTATATCCCCACCTTTGTCTAGAAGAATTTCCACCACACCAACATGTCCAGCAGTTGCAGCCAGAATCAAAGGCGTAAAACCTGGTAACAAGAGATCATGTTAAAACCAACCTTGAGAATCTCAAAAGTATTATTAAGGAGCAGAACTGCACAAAAGGGTTAATTCACTTCTATTGATCAGACATATCTTTCGTGGTATAGGCCACAATCTCAGACCCTTTCCTAGCCCTCTTCTGACCCTGACAGATCTAGGCTCTGATTCCAGACAAATATAATTAAAGGCTCTTCAAAAGAAACCTATACACTACTTGCACTAATCAGTTTTGTTTCAGTTCCAACCAGTTCATCTCTTTATGTGGCTTTAAGTCATGGCTTTCCATTTAATTCCTATGTAATAAAGCTCCAGCAAATGAACACATCTGCACTGCGCATGCTGCTTGTTTCCAGTGGTCAATGTGACTTCCAAGGAGCGAGGCATGGTAGTTTTGTTTTCTCAGCTCTAAAAGATTTGAGGTTTTGTTGACTCTTATTGGGAACAGTATGATACACAACCTGACAACTACTTCCCATCAGCTTCATGAGCCATTTACACCCATTAGCCACTCTATCTAGTATGCTAAGGTCTTTCATAGATGGTGAATTGTAAGGACAGAAGTGCTTCACATTTTTCAAGTCTGCTTAAGATACAACTCAGATGCACTTCTTTTCAAAAATACAGATAGAAAGGCATGCAACCTCACTGGCTTTATATGGCCATTATTTCTACATGAAGCGCAAGAATGCAATTCACATTTTTGCAAGCTTTGGCAATATTCTAAAGCAAGGAAACCCAAATCCCAATTTTAAATTTACTGTTTCAAGTTGTAATTCATGGTCATATTGTTTTAGCTTACCCTTCTTGTCTCTGTGTTCAATATTGGCACCACGTGCTATCAGTACAGATACAAGTTCTTCATGACCTCCCGCACATGCAAGGGTCAGAGCAGTGTCATGATTACTTTCAGTCTTCATGGTTGGGAAGAAAGAGAAGCAGACATTCAGAAATTAAAAATATTTTAAGAGAACTTTAATATTTTTAAGACAATACTAGATAATTTTTTTTTTCCTTTCAGAACTTATCAGAAAGTAAATCCACTCAAAACCAACTGCAATTACTCACATGTGCATCGATGTCAACCGAAGGATACATAGGGAGCACCGACTGTGGGGGCACATTGCTTGATACCTGCGGACAAGGCTCAGGCGTAGGGGATTCGGTAGTGTGCGAGGAGCTGGTGGAGCCACTGGGCACTCTGCTATTCACAGCTGAAAAGTAACACCATGTTATTAGTCCACTCGTAGAAATGTCACATTTTATATGAAAAATATTTAGTCCCATAAAACTGCAATGGTCTAATATCAAAACAGTAATGGGGGAAACAAGTGTTCCTAAAAACAAACGAGTTTGTGTCTTGCTCAAAGAAGCTTTACAGCAGTTAAAGAGTGTAAGTATCGCCTCCAAACTGTGTTAAGTTAGAAAATAATTTTATGAATTAGTCTGTGTGTGTTATGAGTAAGAATTATGAGGTTGATTAGTTATCCTTTTCAAATTGTAACCTTCACTGTTAGAGTCCAATCATACGCTCAGTCTCAGCAGCAAATGATTTATCACCAAAACACAAACCTGATGTTCAGAAACAGTCTCATTCTGGAATTCAGAAGTTTTTCACATAAAGGTTAGTGCATACCTAGTCTCCAGCAAAGGTTTTCAAAGCAAGATGACAGACAGCAACTTACACCATTAGTTGTGTCTCAGAGTTAAAACAACCCAGGAAGGGTGGAAGAGAAACAGATAGGAGGGGGCAGTCAACAAAAATAAGAAAGCTGAAAACTGCCTGTGCTCCCTGAAATATATTCCGATTGATCCACAGCCTGTAAAAGATTTCATCCTGAAGATATAGGAGAGCTCAGGGACACAAGAAATGCAACTTTATCTTCTTAAAAAAAAAAAATAAAAATTGATAATTGAGAACCAGATTTTATTCAAATAGTTTTAAATTAAGCTTTACCTCAACAAGCACAGAAATATCCCTGCACACATGTATCGCAGGGTTGAGACCTCTGCTAGCCTTTGTAACCAAATGAGAGTCCGAGGGGAGCCCAAAGGAATGGAAGGCTCAGCCAGGATTGCTTGGCAGGAAGGTCTAACAGACCTCTGCACTAGCTACAAGCACACCTGAACTGTAGTGAGCCATGCTAATATAGCTGCTGGATTTGACAAGTATTGTCACTGCTGGATTGCCAAATTTCTGTCCTGTGCAGCCTCATTAAATGGAATACCTGGTTAGCTTTAATTATTCCAAACCACACAGTATTTTGTAGTATTCCTGGAACAAGCAACTGATGGAAAACACTAACAACTGCAGGGAAGAAATAAGCAGCAGCACTTTGCTTTTGTCCAAGTGTTTCAAGCAGTAAAGGAAGATGAAAGATGAACTCAAACCTGTGTACAACTTAAAGAGACATTCTTGCAAACCTTTCCCAGCTCAACCTTCCTGAACCCATTGACAAATTACACACCAGCAATTACTCAGAAGAAAACAGTGCAGACAGAAAAGTCTTTGAAAAACCCTCAACATCACCACTAATACCACCAGTTCCCCCTAAGGGACTGCCTATGGAACTGCATATGCGTGACAAAGGAAACACTGGAGCAAGTTTAGGTGGGTCACTTCAGTTGGGTGCTGGAAACGTGGCGGGGGGGTTTGTCACTGAAATTTTGGGAGGTGACAGTTTTCAACTGTACTTTTTAAGTAAAGCATTCTCCTTGGTGCATAGGCAAAAACTAGCATTAACTTTTGGCTACCACATTTAAGCAACAAAGTATCATATCTGAATGCAGAGTTAGCTTTTGCTTCACTTTACAACCTTCACGAGCAGACTGGGTTTGTATTAAAAGTTTCAAATATAAGAGCTCCCACAATTCATCTGCTTACTATGGATTACCAGTTATAGCAGCAGATGAGCATTAATTAATGCAATACAATTGTTTTCTTGCTCAGTGCACTCAAGTGCAAGATACTAACTGGATTTCTAAAGACTATTCCTTCCAAAATGCAAGACACCAAATCGCCTTGTTAGGGACTCATATTAAATCAAACTAGTCCTTCCTCATGAAAGACCCCAGCTCAAAGCTTTCAGATCTTGCTACTATAGATATCTCCAAAGACACGCGCATGTGCTGTGCACACAAAGCAGGGCTGCGCAGAGGGATTCCGTTTGAGCCAGTTTAAGGATCTTTAATGTAACATATTTCGTGTTGCTGTTACAGGTTTCACAACTTCTCAGCATTTCACAAGCATGACTGAGAACATCCAAGTACTCCTTGCATACTTCAGATTTTCATCATGTGCTTGAAACATATGAGTGTGTGCTAAGAACTTCATGTGCACAGTAACAATGATGTCAAATGTGAGAGAGAACAACAAAGGCAGTAGAAATGCAGACAAACCCTGTGCTGATACCCCAAACTCTTGTTTAAAATAAAATCTAACAACACATATTTCTACAATGCCCACTGATCAATCATCTCCTCTGTATCTACTGAGTTTACAAAACTGCAGGATTTTTAAGTGTAATTTTCTATTTCCTTAGTGTGGGTGGCAAGCTGGCCCAATGGAGCATCAGTGTAATTTGTGCTCTGTGGAGCAAAGCATGACTGAGAACTTTCACCTCCAGTTTCCTAGGGCTGATTTAGCTCAGCCTAAGTTACACAACAACATATAGATTTTTAACTCAAAGATGACCTTGCAACAATGGATCCAACATCCCTTCTTATACATCTGTATGAAAATGGATTCCACAAGTCTGTTTCTGGATTACCAACCTCGACCACGGGAGGTGGGACAACTACTGCTCCCGCGAACCCCATCCAGGGAGACTGATGATCCTACCGATGGGACACAAAGGGAGAACCACCTCTCAGCTTCACCTCCCACTACCAGGAGGAGCCCAGCTGTGCCCTCAGGGATGGCTTCATCAGTCTGAAACTGACCCCAGGGAATTCAGGGATGTCTTACCAATCACTGGTCTTTAGGAGGTCACACCCTTAGTGCCAGAAGCTAAGATGCAGTCTCCCCAAGGAGCAATACCACCATACCCACTCCAGACTTTCATCTCAGTAACTGGCATTCATGCAGCAGCAGTGACTGCAGCAGTAGAAAGCAGCAATGGCACTGCCCATAACTCCAAGGGGAAAGGCTAGTTGGAGGGCATGAAACCAACCATGGGGGATGATCAAGTACAGCATCTCTATGCCATGCTGTAGGACTTTAACAGACTAGAAAAATGCGTGGCCTCTTCCCCCTCGTCTTCTCAGAAGATGACTTTCCAACATGTAGACTGCTTCCTACAGAACACCTTTTGTCTTTTCACTGGGAAGGGCACCGATAAACACACTGACAGCCAGGCACCGGTCAACAAAAAAAACAAAGAAAAATCAATTTTCACAATTGATCTCAGATCTTTATAAAATACCTGCTTTGTGACATAGGTTTTGGATGTTTCCACAGACTTCAATATTCAAAAGACTTGTATTAAAAAAAAATAAAAAAAAAAATCTACACATGACAAAATCCAGGTTCCCCACATTTTAAGAAGGGCTTGCAACTTTCCAAAGAAACTTTCTTTGAATCAGTGTGAAGTTGAAGACAGGTCTCCAAATACATGGATGACTATTTTCCAAGCTTATGAAAAAATATCACAGGAAACATGAGTAAAACAAAAGGAAGCAAGAACTTGGTATTTTATTTAAGTATGACACTGGAGGCATTGGCAGAACCTCGAGCCAGCAGCTCCAGATGAGATTGCATCTGTAGTCTGAAAATGCACCTACCTAACCACTGTCATGCCGTGAGCACGGACAATCATGAATATCAGACTTGGATTTCAGCTCCCCTTTCCTCAAAAGAACTGTAATTTTCAGGACAAAGAAAAAAATCCTTTTTCATGACCAAGCAGTCTTTCAGACAGTTACTGCAGAGGCTTTTGCACACTGGCAACTGCATCTCATTTTATGAGTCACCATTTCCCACTCCAGATTATCCTACTAACCAGTTTTAGTCCAAATAGCAATTCTAAATACAGTAACTCAGATGTCACCTTCCAAATATCACAATCCTGTATAACCAACCACAACCAGAACTTGAGAACCAAATAACAGTCAATAAATTTTCTTAAAACACACCTGGAATTTCAGTTTACAGACGGGAGCTCGCAGGAGAAGAGTCATACAGAAGCACACAGAGACGCCACCTCCTGACTAAAAATACCAGCGAAGCAGAAGAAACAGGAATAAAAATATTCCAACTAGTGACAAAATATAGCAGCAAAGAAAAGCAAGTTCCTCATCTTGTACAGTAAATGAATAGTGTGAAACTCCAACTATGCAAGACAAGATGCTTTAAGAAACCAAAAGTGTACTGAGTAATGAAAGTGTCCTCTTCTATTGGAAGATGTGATAAAAAATAATTTATTGCTTTCCCACTCTAAACTGCACATCTTAGTCTTTTTTGTAAACCAAATTAAAATTTTGACTGTAATACGCTGTACCTTCAAAGACAGGATTAGTTGCAAGATTTTTCCTACAGCACATCTAAATGAACTCCATTACAACCAAAATGTTGTGGAGTGGAAAGAGCTGCTTCATTTTGAGGTTTTAGCTAACTTTCCAAAGGTTATTTGGTTACTTCTGTGTGGCTTTAAGAAAGAGGGAACTCAGGTACACGTCATCTACCAGTGACTGACTGCCGGCAAGACTTCACACCTTGCCATCAACCATCTCAACACCTAGCAGCTGACAAATCATGCCAGGAGACTGGAAAGACAAATATGCCATTTATATATGTTGTCACAATTAAGTCAGTCAGCAAAATAAAGATTTGAGGCTTTATAGAAATACAAGTTCTCCCTTACAACTGGTCTCAACTGAAGCTTTGAAAAACTTGCCTCTCATATCACCACTAGAAAGAGCAACAGTAAAAGGTATTTCAGTGCAGGGAGTAAAAAGCCAATTTACCATTTCTGTTCTTCTGAAGTAGACCTGATACAAACTGGAATACTCAGCGGGAATAAAAATGTTCATACCTCTCCTAAACCAAGAGTCAGTCACCACCATTACTGCAGCTCCACCAGTGGTATCGTGACAAAGGGTGACACTTCATCAGCACACCCAAGTGCAAGGGACAACTTCTCTATGAGACAGACATCAAGGCACAACCTCCCTAACAATTTTATTTGGCATCTGTAGCACGCATGTAAAAATCAGA